AACAGACCTAACTGTTCAACTCGGTACCATTCCAATATATGTATGTATATAAAATTAGTATATAAAATGTCTGTATATGTACATATGTATCGGAAACAAAGGTAAAGAAAACATGTAAAAGCATCCAAAACAATGATGCCCCTTTGCTTACGAGAACAAGGGAAATTTAAATACAACTTAAAGGTAAATCATTTTAGCGAAGATCGAACATCCTGCCCCGCCGATGATTTGCGATAGATAAATCATCTAATAAATTTCAGAGTCTGGTTGAGTGTGTCTTGCTTGAAGGTATCTGATCTCCTTTGCTGGATAGAAAACAAAGATTAAATGCATTGATATTATTGTGTCTGGCGATCTGTCATCGCTTGCCAGTTATCCTGGATGGATAAAGGACACAGTTTTGTTACAGATCTTTTTAGTAGACCGTTTAATGTTTTTAACGTTGCAACCCTTACGTGACCATCCGATCCTGGATGAGTGTCAATGACGCGTCCTAGCGGCCAACGTTGGCATGGAAGCCTTTCGTCTTTGAGTAGCACAATATCATTTACCTTGGGGTTGATTTTAGCCTTGAGCCATTTTGGTCGTTTTTGTAGACGAGATAGATACTCTGTACTCCATCGACGCCAGAACTGTTGGACTAAAAATTGGCAGTTTTTCCATGTGTCTTGAAGGCTAAGTCTGTCCAATTCTGGTTCAGGAGGGGCAAGCATGGCATCGCCGATTAAAAAAAAATGTCCCGGTGTTAGGACCAATAGATCGTTTATGTCATTAGAAAGTGAACATAATGGCCGCGAGTTTAAACACGCTTCAATTTGGGTTAACACAGTGCTGAGCTCTTCGAAAGTCAGTTTCCTTTCACCTATCAATCGCTTTAGGTGGTATTTCATGGACTTCACACCCGCCTCCCACAAACCGCCAAAGTGAGGCGATGATGGTGGAATAAAGTGCCATTGAATGCTATGTTCTACGAGAAATGGAGCTATTCTTGAACTAATATACGTTTGATATGCCCTTTTATCGGCCCGTAGTTTCTGATTCGCTCCTACAAAATTAGTGCTGCAGTCGCTAAATAGCTCTTTACATAGACCTCTTCTTCCAATAAAGCGATGAAGGGCTCCTATAAACGCGTTTGCAGATAAATCACCCACTGGTTCGAGATGAATAGCCTTGGTAACAAGACAAATAAATACAGCAATATATCCTTTTATGGATGCTCGACCTCGTCCTTTCGATGGTAATATGCTAATCGGGCTGGCATAGTCGACACCAGTCGACGTAAAGGCCCTAGCCGGACGGATTCTTGGAGCCGGTAAGTTTCCCATAAGCTGGTCTAGCGGCTTGGGTTTACATCGATAACAACGGACACAGCGGTGAACACAAAATTGAACCGCATTACGCCCATTTATTATCCAAAACCTTTTGCGAGTATGATTGAGCGTGAGCGCAACACCACCATGTAAAGTGCTGAGATGACTATGTTGGACGACTAAATTGGTAAACTGGCCCTTTGCTGGTAAGATGAGTGGATGCCTTTCTGATAGCGTTAGTAGCGAATCCCGAAGTCTTCCTCCTACCCTTATCAAGTTTACTTCTTCATCAAAAAACGGATTTAGCGGTAGCAACGTGCTTCGTTGGGGTAAAGGAGCGTTCATAGAGAGTGCATTCCATTCGCTTGGGAAAGCGTCCTGTTGGATGATTCGCGTAATCGTGAATAAGCTTGTGTCTAATTCTTCTACGCTCAAGTTGTCAAGGCGCCGCTTAGATTTGGGCTTACTGCAATTGATGATAAACCGTCGACAATTGGCGACGACTCGTATTAGTTGCGTCATAGACGAAAAGTTATTTATAAATGCAGCCGCTTGCTGTGTGTTAATATTGAACGCGTTTACTGTGATAGATTTCAGCTCTTTCTTTACAGATGAAGGGAGATCAGAATTTTTACGGGATATTGGCCATTTCGATGAATGCCATTGCAGCCATTCTGGGCCACTCCACCAAAGCTTACTTGGCACCAGTTTTGATGGACGTAGCCCTCTGCTCGAACAATCTACTGGGTTGTCTGCGGATATAATGTGAGGCTTAGATACTTCTAAGATTTTGTTGATGCGATTGGCGATGAATAGTTTCCAGCGATGTGGATCTCCTTGAATCCATCCTAAGACAATCATCGAATCTGTCCAAAAAAATATGTTATTGTCACTGAAGCAAATTTGCAGCTCCTGGTTAACGAATTTTAAAATTTTTGTCGCTAACACTGCTCCGCATAATTCAGCGCGAGGGATGGTGAGCTTAGGTCTGATAGGTGCAACCTTGCTTTTCGCCATCAACAAGGTGGAGTGATAGTTTCCGTTCGCATCACAAACTCTTAGGTATGCCGCTGCGGAATGGGCGTGCATTAGGGCGTCACAAAATATGTGAATTTCACTTGATATTATCGTATTGCTTATATTCACCAATCGCGGAATGCTTATGTCTTCAATGGCTGGTAATTCATCAATATACTGGGTCCACGATCTTTGGATATCGTCGGGTACGGGGCTATCCAACTGATTTTTTAGTGACCACAATCTTTGCTTAATTATTTTTGCGGAGATAATTGCTGGATTCAACCACCCGAGTGGATCAAATAACCGTGAAATCGTTGACAATATTTTGCGTTTCGTATGTACATCGCCTAGAATTTCAAAGTTTATTTGATATTTAAAAACGTCTTCCTTAGGGTTCCAACAAAGACCCAAGGTTTTTATTTTGCTACCGACATTAAGCTGCAACAAATTGTCCAGTTGTCTATATGCGACAGGTATATCCTGTAAAAGCATATGATGGTTACTTGCCCATTTACGAAGCTTAAAGGTGCCACTCTTTAACATACCGATAATATGCTCTTGCCGGTTTAACGCTTCTTCAATTGAATGACCTCCTGACAAAATATCGTCTGCGTACTTGTGATGTTTGATTACATCAACCGCCAAAGGATAGTTTGAGCCTTCATCGTCTGCTAATTTTTGTACAGTTCGAATAGCGGTAAAAGGAGCAGAAGCTGTGCCAAACATAACCACTGAACAAAAATATTCTTTAATTTCCTCCGCGGGATTATCACGCCACAGAATTCGCTGATATTGGGCGTCCTCTTCCTGTACGTCGATACGACAGTACATTTTTTCGATGTCCGTAGTAAATACGAACTTCAAAAAACGCCAGTTAGTGAGGACAGCTGAAAAATTCCTTTGTAGGGATGGACCAGTTGCTAAAATGTTGTTGAGCGACTTTCCATTGCTGGTTTTGGCAGATGCGTCGAAAACGATTCTTATTTTGGTAGTAGACGAAGATTCCTTTAAGACCGGGTGATGCGGTAGGTAAAAACAGGTGGAGAATGAACCATTTTCCTTTGAGATACATTGACTTTGTTGTTCTGATCTGATGACTGGTTTCATTTTCCCTAATGCGAGATATTCTCTAATTGTGTCCGGGTAGGTCTTTCTCAACTCTGGATCCCGCGAAAGTCGATTTTCGAGATGCATGAAACGTTTTAAAGCCATGTGGCGCGAGGTGCCGATAACGCTGGAAGCATCAATTTCGGATAATAAGGGTGATCTTACAATATATTTACCACTCTCCATTCGTTGAACAGTCGACGAACTACATTTAACCTCGGGGACCTCCTCCAATTCCCAAAACTTTCGTAATACTGTGTCAAATTCGATCGAGTTATGCAAAGATGAGACCGTGATCGGTGAAGGTTCGGAGTTTCGAACCTTACCGGATATGATGTAACCAAAGGTAGTAAGCTGTGCGATTGGAGCACCCTTTGGCCCACGGCGAGTGTCGCTCAGGATACACTCGTCATAGATGTCGCTTCCCAGCAGGATATCTACTTGCTGTGGCTCGTAGTAAGAAGGATCTGCAAGGTCCAATCCTTTAAGATACGGCCATATTGTTGTCGTTATGCGTTTGCTAGGCATCACGTGATTTACCTTTGGCAACACATAAGCTAATACCCTATATTCCATTGATGGATCTCGCCGCGAACGAACTGTGAGCAATACATAGGAACGCGCTTCAGCAACCTTTGCTTCTGATAAACCTTTGATATTGATATGCGCTCGCTTTCGTGGGAGTCGCAGTACTTGTACCGTGTGTTCGGTGACAAATGATGCCTCAGACCCCTGGTCCAAGAATGCTCTAAATGTCAACGATTGCCCTTCGAATGTATCAATTGCGACTATAGCAGTAGGTAACACCACTTCAACTTTATTAGTCGTTCGAATATCTTGTTCTAAGTCCACTTCTTTCCTAGCAAGTAGTGTATCAGTTGCGCAACGATGATTGATAATTGCTGTATCCATTGATGCTTTCGATACCGACTCCAGAGTCGGCTCCACATGTAGCAGGGTGTGATGCCTGCCATCACACTTTATACAACTGCGTTTGCTACTACACCTTGATGCTATGTGGTTGTACCCCAAGCAGTTAAAGCATAGCTGGAGTTTCTCTACCCGTTCTTTTCTTTCAGGGTTCTTAAAACTGTTAAAAATAGGACATTCGCGTACTGCGTGTTCTGCCTTTGTGCAGACCTTACAGATATACGTCTTTTTTGTTACATGTAGAGCTTGTATATCGCCTTTAAAAGTATGAGTAGTTAAATTACCCTTTCGATGATTTACAGCCAAGGAATGTTGGTGCAGCTTAGACGACCCTGACGAAGTAGAACTAGATGACGTAATCATCCTTTGATATTGTTCGTCAAGTACTGCACACAAACTTAGGGATTACTGTCTTCAAACCTAGGGATTGCCCCCTTTCCACTCATCGCTCGATCCCATTCATTGTGAATGGAAGCCGGAAGTTTCTTCAGCATATAATGTACTAAAATTTGATTTTGTTCACCCAGACAAGCTTCTGAATCGAATTTACACACGAACGGCAGGTCTGTATGAAACGCCTCAAGCTATTAGGATCACCTCGAATAACAGTAGGTTGTTGATCGAAAACATTCATGTAATGGGAAAATAGTATGCGATCATTATCGTACAAATCCGTCAACATTTTCCAGGCCCCAAGATAATTTTCACCGAGCAGGGTTATATGCTGAATGTCTTGCGCTGCTTCATCTAATAAGGCTCCTTTCAGATAGTAAAAGCGCTGAAAATCATTGAGTCGTTCGCTGTTATGTATTCGAGATAAAAATATTTCTTTGAACGTCGGCGTAGTGTAGTTCCCATTGAACGTAGTTTCCATTGAACGTAGGCAATTTAATTTCAGGTAGAGGCACTTCTTTACTAGCAGGAGGTGTTGAACTGGCGGGGATACTACAAATGTTATTGCTGCGAGTTGGTGGGAATGCGGTAATAAATGCCTCTTTAATGAAAGAGACCGCCTCAAGATAAGCTTCTTCGAATTTGTCATTTATATCAACATTAATATATTTTTTGGTTACTTGTTGGCTTTTAGACATACGCATTAACTTCCGATGATTATCGCGAAACTCGATACGATGCGATGACAAGCTTTTCTAGCCGGCTCTGAAAATATGACTCCGTTTTGCGTGATGTAGCATCCTTCTTGAAATTACGCAATCCCTTTTGAACCGATGATAACAGTGATAATTGTTCAGCTACGTAGTCTCCAGACTCTCTTTCAGTTTCGGAGCCCGACATTATTCTACCAGAACACAAATAATATCAATGCACTCACCTTTAGAATTCCGTCTTCCGTTTCGAAATAAGTTGTTGTTGAATATCCACGGTCTGGTCAAATGGATGTTCCTCGTAATGCACCATATGCTCCGTCCAACTCCTTTGGAACGATAATTGTTGAGTTCTAAATCACCACGCACAGACCTCACAGGAGGCACCATATGTTAAATCTTTGCGCAGGTTCTTTTAGCAATATGGACTGCTACGCA